ATATAATTTTTTTAAATATTAGACAATGTCCTTCATTTTAAATTCGATTGATAAGTTTTGTTTATTTAATTTCCTATAAACATATAAGTTACAGTATTTGAAAAAATAATCTATTTTATAGCATTTAATATTCCTCGAATAATTATTCACGGTACGGGAAGCTCCAACAATTTGCCTTAAGGCACGATGCCATTTACCATTAGTTAACTTCCCGTAGAGTAGAGTGTAAGTTATGTAATCGTCCAAAATTGAAATTGAAATTTTTACATTCTTCACGTTTTGAAGGTTTCTAAATATTTCTGGCATCCCTCAGAAAATGGGGGATATATGCGTGTGTGTATATGTATGTATGGATACAATTTTTCGTCCACGGTTTCGGCGCACGCACGAATCAGCCGATTTGAATGGTTCAAAAAACATTCGATTCCTATTGACAGGGAGATGTGCTGATTAGTTTTTGGCAAAGGCTGGCCAGCCGCTTCGGAGATACAGTGCAAAGAGTGCAGAAAATAGAAATAGAGTTTTTCAGAGAACGGAGCATCCGATTGAGATAATCCAAAAAACGTTCAATTCGTAATGACGGGAAGAAGAAGTGGTGATTAGTTTTTGGCAAACGCAGGTCCAGCCGTTTTGGAGATACCAAGCTAAATGTGCAATAAATGGCAGTTTTGAGAGAAATAAGTATCCGATTTGGATGATTCAGAAAACTTTCTGCTTGTGTACGAACGAAACGATTTGCTTTCCGAAACAACAAAATTTTTATTTTTTTTTTTAATTTCCACAAAGAATTTTTTTTGAATATCGAAAATAAATCAAATAAATAACTTATAAATATTAGACAAAAATTAGATTGATTAAATTTATGTTTATTTAAATGTAAACATATAATTACTAGTATTAAAAAAAATGTATTGAATTTTTATTGCAATGTATTGAAAACATTTTAATATTTATCGAATATTTATTCACCGTACGGGAAGCTCCAGCAATTTGCCTTAAGGCACGATGCCATTCACCACTAGTTAACTTCCCGTAGGGTAAATTATTGTAATAGACCAAAAATCGAAATTGAAAATTTTCACATTTCTCGACGTTTTGAAGGTTTCTGAACATTTTGGAATCTCAGAAAAATGGATGTTTGTGTGTGTGTGTTTTTGTATGTCCGCACTTTTTGTCCACGTTTTCGGGCGCAGATCAGCCGATTTGAATGATTCAAAAAACATTCAATCCTATTGATAGGGAGATGTGCTGAATAGTTTTTGGCAAAAGCAGGTCTAGCCCCTAAGGAGATACGGAGCAAAGAGTGCAGAAAATACAAATTGAGTTTTTGAGAGAACGGAGTATCCGATTTGAATGATCTAGAAAACATTCAATTTGTAATGACTAGGGGAAGTGGTGATTAGTTTATTACAAAGGCAGGTCCAGCTTTCGAAGATACAGACTTAAATGTGCAAAAAATGGTAGTTTTTGAAAGAACTAAGCGTCCGATTTGAATGATTGATTGCTTTTGAAAAAACATTTTTTGTTTCGATTTTTTTTTGTATATTGAAAATAATTCAGATTTTAATTTGAATTCTTGCTAAAGTTCTAAAGCTCACTTATATACTTTTAATAAATAATTTAACCTTTGCAGTATTAGACAATGTTGCAATATTTATAACATACTGTAGCATTGTCTAATATTTATAAGAATTATATAATCTGAATTACAAAGTTCAAATTATTTATTAGAGTATTAAATGAGTTTTTTTTTAGCCAGAATTAAGATTGAAATCTCAATTATTCTATATACAAAAAATATTTTTTTAAAAAAACATTGAAAAAAAAATGAAACATTTTTTCCCAAAAGCAATTATTTAGTTAAAACAAGCAGAAAGTTCTTTGAATCATTCAAATCCGACTATTTTGGAATTAGCTCTGTATCTCCGAAACCGCTGGACCTTGACTTTGCCCAAAAATTAACACCACTTCTCCCGTCATTACAAATTCAATGTTTATTGGATCATTCGAAACGATGCTCTGATCTCTCTAAAACTCAATTTCTATTTTCTGCATTCTTTGATCCGTATCTCCAAAACGGCTGGACCTGCCTTTGCCAAAAACTAATCAGCACATCTCCCTATCAATAGGAATCGAATGTTTTTGAATCATTCAAATCGGTGATCCGTGCACCCGAAAACGTGGGCGAAAATTGTATCCATACATACATACACACATCCATTTTTTCTGAGGTATGCCAAAATGTTCAGAAACCTTCAAAACGTGAAGAAATGTAAAAATTTTCAATCTCGATTTTTGAACGATTACAATAACTATCCCTATGAGAAGTTAAAAAATAACCTTTTTGAGAGGATTTTACTAACAATTATGGCTCAATTGCAAGCCTTATTAATTAAGCCTGGGTTGGATATAGAAAATTATTAATAAAATATTTACACAAGTCATTGATAACAATGTTTATTTATTTCATATTATATATAATAATTAGTTCATATACCAAATTATCATTAATTACTATAAGCAGTCATATGTAACCTTTTGACTAGTTTTGTAAATACTATTACTCATTGGTATGAGCAACCATGTGCTTTTTCAGGGTATTTGATTGTTTGAATACTTTATCACAGATTTTGCATTTGTAGGGGCATTCTCTGGTGTGAATGAGCATATGTCTATTCAAGTTACTCAATTGTATGAATGCCTTATTACAAATTTGGCAAATATGGGAGCGTTCACCAGTGTGAATAATCATATGTCTATTCAAGTTAGCCAAAATTGTGAATGTCTTATCACAAATTTGGCAAATATGGGGGCGTTCACCAGTGTGGATGAGCATATGTTTTTTCAAGTCAGATAATTGTGTGAATGTCTTTTCACATATTTTGCAAATATAGGGGCGTTGCTCACCAGTGTGGTTGAACATATGTCTATTCAAGTTACTCAATTGTATGAATGCCTTATTACAAATTTGGCAAATATGGGAGCGTTCACCAGTGTGAATAATCATATGTCTATTCAAGCTAGCCAATTGTGTGAATGTCTTATCACAAATTTGGCAAATATGGGGACATTCACCAGTGTGTATGAGCATATGTCTATTCAAATGATCTGATTCTGTAAATGTCTTACCACATACTTTACATTTATTAGGACGTACCCCAGTGTGAATTAGCATATGCGATTTCAAGGTACTCAATCGTGCAAATGTCTTATCACAAATTTTGCAAATATGCGGACGTTCACCTGGTCCCTTTGCAGTATGAGCGCGAATATTTCGTTTTTGATTACTAGATTCATTCGAATTTAAAATTTGTTCTCTTGCAGAAGCACAAATGTGTTGATCTAAATGATATTTGTCAGTAAATGCTTTACTGCAATTCGTACATGTGAAATGTTTTTCCCCTGTATGAGATTTTATATGTATTTCTAATGCACTTGCATCTGAAAAAGTCTTTGAACAATATGTGCACTTATGACAATAATTTACCATATGCTGTTCTAAATAATGCAACTTTCTAAATGTTCTATGACACTTGTCACATTTATAAGGAGCAGTCTGAATTAATTGCTGTTCAACTCCTTCTTCTATTTTCACTATGGAGTTCATAAATCTGTTTAGACATGTTTTGTCATCCTCTGAACACGATTCATACTCTTCCTCAATTTCCGGTTTAATGTCTTCGATTGGATATTCTTTTGGTTCAATTTTAATTATCGAATCATCAGCAGCTTCTGACATTTTAAGATATTTGTGCACTGAGTATTCAAGTTTATTCAAGTTCAATTCCTGTTCAACTTCTTCTTCTATTTTCACTATGGAGTTCATAAATCTGTTTAGACATGTTTTGTCATCCTCTGAACATGATTCAGGGTCTTCCTTAATTTCCTGTTTAATGTCTTCGATTGGATATTCTTTTAGTTCAATTTTAATTATCGAATCATCAGCAGCTTCTGACATTTTGAGATAATTGTGCACTGAGTATGTTTCTATAAGCATAAACAAAAACAGTTGGTTAGTTTAAATGAATTGTTAAATATGATAATTCATTTCATTAGAAATACAAGTGAAGACATTAGATGATTACAGTTGGAGCAAGGAGTATGATTTTAGAGAGTGCATTTTATTTATGCTCTTTTAACATTTTACAGGAGTGTGTGTTTAAATTGTTAATCATTTTCAACAGTCATCAATACAAATGGATATAAGAATATAATATATTCGTGTTATGGTTTTGTCTATGAATGTAATATTACATTAATTTAACAGAAGTCTACTTTGGACAATGTATGTCGCCAAGATAATTTCTTCTTCGAAATGCTTTATATTTGACAGATAGTAAATACGATTCAACTATTGTTCAAACCTTTTGCCTTATTGCAGAGCTGAAATGTAAAGGGTAAAATTAAGCAATGATTATTTTTTGCATTAATTGAAGTTAAATATTTATAGTTCTTTCTAAATTAAATAATTGTAACTAAAAGTTAATCACGTGGAAGAACCTCAAAGTGTTTTACACTACCTTTATGTTTATCAATCAATCACAAACACTGCAATCACAAATATATATTATTATATTAATACTTAAATTTATATATAATATGTTTATTATGACATTTAATTAATAATTTAATAAACAGAATATAAAATGTTCGTTCAGTACATTAATTTGTTTGACAGTTGAGCGAACTTCATTACTTTGCATCGCTCTAATGTTACCATTGCCAACCTAGTGCAATCATAGACCTTACACTACATAGACTGCTAAATAAACCATGAATAGACCTTATACTCTCTTTTATCTATTAATCCTTATATGTATCAAAGCAAGGCTCATGCAGGGCTTTTTAAACTTTTGTCATTTAAGACCCATTTATGATTACTAGTTTTTTGACAACCCTACACAAATATAAAAAAAAGAAAAATTATAATTTTTAGATAATAAGGTAACAATATACATATATACATATGAAAATATATAGTTTTAGAATTTGTTGTAAAACTTACAAGAATCTAAATAATTGTGTTAATTTTGAATATTAACACAAACAACCAAGTAGGAGGAGGGTCCAAAAATCCCCTACAAAACTGATCACGTGATTAATGAATGCCTCCTTAAAAGAAGAGAGCACACAACACTCAGTTTTTTGCACTGCACACATTGACCATAGATAAATAATATTAAAATATATTATTTATAGTTAATAATATTTATCATAATACTTAACGTTAATACTCGCCTCCCTCCTTTTATCTTTATGCATTTATTTTGATCTCGAGTAGCAGTCCATGTAGAAATAAGGTCTATGATTGCACTAGGCTGGCAATGGTAACATTAGAGCGATGCAAAGTAATGAAGTTCGCTCAACTGTCAAACAAATTAGTGTACTGAACGAACATTTTATATTCCGTTTATTAAATTATTAATTAAATGTCATAATAAACATTATATATAAATTTAAGTATTATTATAATAATATATATTATTTAGCAGTATTTGTGATTGATTGATAAACATAAAGGTAGTGTAAAATACTTTGAGGTTATTTCACATGGTTAACTTTTAGTTATATTATTCCATTTAGAAAGAACTATAAATATTTAACTTCAAATAATGAATAAAATAATTATTGCTTAAACATTTTAGCTCTTCTATAAGGCAAAAGCTTTTAACATATTTATCTGTCAAATATAAAGTATTTTGAGGAAGGAATTATCTTGGCGACATACATTATCCAAAATAGACTTCTGTTAACTTAATGTAAGATTACATTCATAGACAAAACCATAATATCAATATATTATATTCTTAAAACCATTTGTGTTGACGACAGTTGAGAAAACAAGTAGAGAATGATTATTAACTTAAACATACACTCCTGTAAAATTTTATGAGAGCATAAATGCAAGTATACTCCATGCTCCAACTATCAACAACAAATGTTTTCATTTATATTTCTGGTGAAATTAATGATTATATTTAACAATAGTTTATTTAAACAAACCAACTATTTTTGTTAATGCTTACAGAACATACTTAGTGCACAAATATCTAAAAATGTCAGAAGCTACTAATAATCAGATAATTAAAATTGAACCACAAGAATATCCAATCGAAGACATTAAACAGGAAATTGAAGAAGAGTATGAATCGTGTTCAGAGGATGACAAAACATGTCTAAACAGATTTATGAACTTCATAGTGAAAATAGAAGAAGTTGAACAAGAATTGAACTTGAATAAACTTGAATACTCAGTGCACAATTATCTCAAAATGTCAGAAGCTGCTGATGATTCGATAATTAAAATTGAACCAAAAGAATATCCAATCGAAGAAATTAAACAGGAAATTGAGGAAGAGTATGAATCGTGTTCAGATGACAAAACATGTCTAAACAGATTTATGAACTCCATAGTGAAAATAGAAGAAGAAGTTGAACAGGAATTGAACTTGAATAAACATATACTAACTCACACATGGCGACGTCATACATGTAAAATATGTGGTAAGACATTTACAGATTCAAGTAACATGTATAAACATATGCTCATTCACACTGGTGAACGTCTACATATTTGCCAAATATGTGATAAGACATTCACGCAATCAAGTAACTTGAATCAACATATGCTAATTCACACTGGGGTACGTCCACATATTTGCAAAATATGTGATAAGGCATTCACACAATTGTTTGCCTTGAATCAACATATGCTCATTCACACTGGTGAACGTCCCCATATTTGCCAAATTTGTGATAAGACATTCATACAATTGCCTCACTTGAATAGACATATGCTCATTCACACTGGAGAATGCCCCTACAAATGCAAAATCTGTGATAAGGTATTCAAACGTCCATATGTCCTGAAAAGGCACATGGTTGCTCATACCAATGACTAATTAGTATTTACAAAATTGGCCACAAAATTACATACGGCTGCTTATGGAAATTAATGATAATTAGATATATGAATTAATTTATATATTTTATAATATGAATAAACATTGTTATCAATGACTTGTGTAAATATTTTATTAATAATGTTTTACATCCATTCCAGGTTTAATAAGATTTGCAATTGAGCCATAATTGTTAATAGAATCTTCCCAAAAAGTTTACTTTTTAACATAGGGTTAGTTATGATAATCGTCCAAAAATCGAAATTGAAATTTTTTGCATATTTTTATGATTCAGAGGTTTCTAAGCATTTTGGCTTATCTTAAAAAAAATGGATGTGTTTGTGTATGTGTGGATACAATTTTCTGTCGACGAGTTCGGGCGTACGGATCAACCGATTTGGATCATTCAAAAAACATTTTGTTTGTTAACTTCCCGTAGGGTAGTTATAGTAATGGGCCGAAAATCGAAAATGAAAATTTTTGCATATCTTCACGTTTTGAAGGTTTCTGAACATTTTGGCATACCTCAGAAAAAATGTATGTGTGTGTGTGTTTTGTAAGTCCGCATTTTTTCGTCCACGTTTTGGGGCGTGCAAATCAACCGATTTGAATAGTTCAAAAAGCATTCGATTTCTATTGATAGGGAGATGTGCTGATTAGTTTTTGGCAAAGGCAGGTCCAGCCGTTTTCGAGATACCGAGCTAATTATGCAAAAAATGGCTGTTTTTGAGAGAACTAAGCATCCGATTCAAATGATTCAAAAATTTTTTTGTTTGTTTGAACAAAATAATTGCTTTTGGGGAAAAAATATCTCAATTTTTTTTAATTTTTTTTTTTAGAATTTTCATTTTTTGTATATCGAAAATAATTCAGATTTTAATTTATTTTTAGCTGCCCGTAGGGTAAGTTATTGATGTAATCGTCCAAAAATCGAAATCGAAAATTTTTACATTTCTCGACGTTTCGAAGGTTTCTGAACATTTTGGCATACTTCAGAAAAAATGGATGTGTGTGTATGTATGTATGGATACAATTTTTCGTCCACGTTTTCAGGCGTACGGATCAACCGATTTGAATGGTTCAAAAAACATTCGATTCCTATCGATAGGGAGATGTGCTGATTAGTTTTTGGCAGAGGCAGGTCCAGCAGTTACGGAGATAAAGACCAAAGAGTCCAAAAAATAAAAATCGAGTTTTTGAGAGAACGGAGCATCCGATTTCAATTATCTAAAGAACATTCAATTAGTAATGATTGGGAAAAGTGTTTATCAGTTTTTGGCAAAGGCAGGCCCGGCCATTTCGAAAATACGGAGCTAAATGTGCAAAAAATGGCAGTTTTTAAGAGAACTAAGCGTCCGATTTGAATGATTCAAAGAACTTTCTGCTTGTTTTAACAAAATAATTGATTTTGAAAAAAAAAACTTTTTTGTTTCAAAATTTTTTTCCATTTTTTTTGTATATCGAAAATAAATTAGATTTTTATTTTAATTTTGTTTTAATGTACTTTAAACAAATAATTTCAACTTTCTAATTCAGTTTATATAATTCTTATAAATATTAGTCAATGTTACAATATTTATAATAATCTATTTTAAAACATTTAATATTTCTCTATCATTTCGTTACGGTACGGGAAGTTCCAGTAATTTGCCTTAAGGTACGATGCCATACACCCCACTAGTTAATTTTATTTCTGGATAAAGTTCTAAAGCTTACTTATATACTTTTATATAAATAATTTTAACTTTGCAATTCAGTTTATATAATTCTTATATATTATATATTAGACAATGTTATAGTATTTATAATAATCCATTAATCCATAATCTTCTTTTATCTATGGCAATTCACCAATAGTTTACAGTATCATCCGTATAGATGTCCTCACATTCGTTTCTTCAAAATGTCCACTCTTTTCGCCTGACAGTCGCCTATGGCAAACACTTTGACTTATTGACAGATAAATGTTGATACAAGAAACACAATAGAATATTTTAATTAAAATTATTTAAAATGATGAAATAATAAAATATTTTAATGTACTATTTTTACTATAAATCTTTAACAAAAAAGCAATATGGAATTTCCTCAACCGCCTAGTGGTAAATATATATGAACTAAATTTAGGTTACCGCATTTGTAAATAATGTTTACAAATGTAATAATATCTGTTGGTTTTGTTTGTTATTTATTTTTTATTTCCAGATAATGAAACGAGAAATATTATTGACAAACTGGCGCAATTTGTTGCTAGGAATGGGCCGGAGTTTGAAATTATGACAAAATCTAAACAGGAAAATAATCCTAAGTTTGCCTTTTTGTATGGAGGAGAACACTTTAATTATTATCAGTACAAAGTGGCGGCGGAACAAGCATGTAAATATATTTAATAGTTACTTTAGTTAAAGAAAGACGTAGGATTTAATTTAATGTTTACCAGACAGTTGTTTTTGTGATTGCGAGGTCATAAAACATATTGTGGACACTTCCTTAATACAAATACAGGTAACATCCGTATAACACGGTAGTTAGATACCAAAAAACTAGTGTGTTATTCGAATCCTAGAAAGAACTAGTACAAAAAGAGGCGTTACGTTCCAAGAATCCAAAAAAACATGCTACCTATTATATTTTTATAATAAATATTATTAAAATTATTCAATTTTATTAAGAAGTAGTACAAAGGAAATAAATTATGATATTTTCTTCATTATAACTACCAAATAAATGATATCAAAGGTGATCGTTTGCTTTTTGGGGGAGATCATATCCTCTGAGCATTTTTCTGTATTTCTATGCATTTGCAAAAAAAGAGTGCGAGTAAGGTTCACACCAGATGGAAATAAAACTTATTTGCTACTTTACTAGATGGCACTTGAGTAAAAATAAGTACATCATATAACAATTTTGTATAATGTTTATTAGTAACATGGTAACTTGTGATGCACATATTTATTAGTTTCAACCATAATGATAAATTATAAATTTGATATTTATAATAACATCAAAAATATGTATAATATTTAAAAACAATAATGTAATCAAAGTCATCTACTTCAAATATGATGTGATCGGTTTATCATTGTAATTAGCATTTAGAAATGAACCTTCATTAGAGAAATTAAGTAATGATTAATAAATTTATTAATGCTGATTTATAAATTCTATAATATTCGTTCACTCAGTGGACTATGTTAAACAACGCCTTAACAAATATTGTTTTCGCAACTTCACTCATCATGTAATTGTGTTTGAAAAACTTTGTGTAATCAAAATTAACATACATTCATTGACTGCTTTTAATTTTTTTTTACTTTTTTGCTGGCGATATAATCTCATTATTTGAATAGCTGTAATATCAGTCTTGCCTAAAAATATTTTCCATTTTAATAACTTCAAAGATTTATAGAAACTACGAATAATATAGAAGTAATTTCTAATCAATAAACTTACGTTTAGTTCACGGTCCAAATGTTTAATTAGTTTTATTATTTTCAAGGAACGGTGTAAAATATTCTTCTGATTCAGGTATTTTTCATTAAATCAAGATTTGTACTACGATGTATTTTTAAAATTCATTTATCTATTCCGATTTCCTTGTTGATATCGGTACACATACAATGACAGATCTATATTCACAACACGACAACTAATCTCAATCGACCCCTATAGAAATGATCTCATCGAGAGCGAATGACGAACAGTTTGGGCGTAACGAACTTCCGTTGCATTTGTACGGATTTACACCCTAGTCGCGCCTAAAGAAGTTTTACTTCAAAAAATGATATTTGGTATTACTTGCTTTTAGTGAAAAGATATTTATATTGTTACATTCTTCATTGATACAAAGCACATGGAAATTTGCTGTTATTAAAATTTTGTGCTCAAGCATCTTCATTTAAGAAGTACCACTATTTGTACTGAACAGTGTAGACCTTTCTTTTAATATTTTGGAGTCACTTGATTATAAAATGTCATTTGAGATGGCTTTTGCACTATTTTTAGAATAGATAAAATTTGCTTTTCATAGATTTTACTATATTTCTTATTTTATTAGGGTTTTGCTCAATTCTCAAATCGTGTTATGGCAAACCTGTGCTTTAAAAAAGCCATGATATTTATTTATTTATTTATTTATTTTACAAGCCGTCAATATTTTGCAGATTTATCATAATTTAATTTACAATTTTGTTACTTATATATTGTTTAATTTATTTACTATAAACTTATTTATATGTAGTTAATTTTAATTTTTTTTTTTTATTTTAATTATTTTTAAAGATAATCAGTTTGTTTGTTGCAAGTATTTTTTTAAAATTCAATGTATTTGTATCAATGAAGAATGTAACAATATAAATATCTTTTCACTAAGAGCAAGCAATACCAAATATCATTTTTTTTAAGTAAAACTTTTTTAGGCGCGACTAGGGTGTAAATCCGTACAAATGCAACAGAAGTCCGTTACGCCCAAACTGTTCATCATTCGCTCTCGATGAGATCATTTCTATAGGGGTCGATTGAGATTAGTCGTCGTGTTTGTGAATAGAGATCTTTCGTTGTATGTGTACCGATATCATTAAGGAAATCGGCATAGATAAATGAATTTTAATAAGCTAAGTTAGAAGGGGCTTGTCTCAATTTTTGAATCCAGTGGCGTATCTACTAGAGTTAATATAAAGAAAACTAAAGACAAATATGGAGAATATATATATAAACTATATTAGATCTCCAGGTATCTGATTTGTATGATTGAAAAATCATTCGGTTCGTACTCGATCGCTAGACGTTTTTGTAAAAGGCACGTCTAGCCGTTTTGGAGGTGCGGTGAGCAAAGGGTGTAAAAATGCAGTTTTTGAGAGAACTGATCATCCGATTAGATTATTTTAAAAAACCTTTGTGTAGAGGTGTGCAAAGAATGCTTTTACAAAAAAATTCGTAATTTTGAACGATTTCAAAAAAAAAAAAATTGAAATTTGTCATTTTCCAAAAAATTCAAAACTTTAAAGTTTCAAAAAATATCAAAATTTCAAATAAAATTGATTTCTTACACAAATTTGAGAATATTTCGAGATTTTCAAAAAAATCGAACATTTTCAAAAAAATTCAAATTCTCAAAAAATGTAAAATTTTGAAAAAATACCAAAAAAATCCAATTTAAAAAAAAGCATTATGTTTTTAAATAATATAATTTTCCTTTTTCTAACAATTATGGTTTTGTGTCAAATTCTATCAATAAAAAAATAATTTTATTAAAATGTATAAGCTGAATGATGACACACATCAGGTGTCGAAACGTATAACAAAGGAAATTATTTTTTCTTAACTTATTCTTTTATTTAGACGAATGTTCTGTTAAACCATTTTTTCAAATATGTTAACTAATTTTTTAAAATTATTTATATTAAAGAAAATATATGTTTTGTTATGTATTTTCATATTTTATTAAAATTAAACAGTAACTGATAGTATTTGAATAAATTTATAATTATTAATATGTCGATGAACATTTGTATAATTTTATCAAAATCAATCCCTTATCATTAAAAATGATCCTTATTAAATTATTTAATTAATGCTGAAATTTTTTTATTATCTATACTTCTTTATATATTCTGATTTGTAATGTTTATTGTAATTTTTGTATTTATATTAATTTTTATATTTAATTTATTTTAGTGTTAAAACAACAGCAGCCTATGTTTATGGGGCCACAGCAACAGCAGCAAAATCCAAATGTAAATCAACCACCAGGAAATATTGCAGGACTTCAACAATGGCTTGCAGCAAATATATCAACAGTACCAGGTGGAAATGGTAATAAATTCAAATTATAATATTATAATAACTTAAAATTACAATATTATACTATATTATACTATTATAATATATTATACTATTAAATAATTCTGATTTATAATAATAATAGTAGTAATAATTCTATGTAGTTGTGTTCGATGATGTGAAATCACTGTTTATTATATTTTCAGCATCATCAAGATGTTTGAGATTTTTTTACGTCATAAATATTTAATCACTGTTATTGATTTACTGTCTTATAATAATTATTTTTTTCCACTGTAATAATTATAATTATTAAAGTAGTTATATATTAATGGGCCGCTTCTGCCACACAACAGACCAATGTTATGGCAAGGCCATGTTACACTCCAACTCGCATACGTTATGCTAATGAATCATACTGAATACTGTCAAATGTCATGTATTTGTTGTGCATTAAGGCGTTTTACACATAAACTGCAACGTCACTTGTATGTTATGAAGCTGGGTCAGAAAGACCCTGTTATCTAAGATCGTTTTTTTGACATTTGTACGGTTTCTACGTTAGGTTTTTTATCTGAAAGAAAAACGTCTGACTTCTTAGCAACTACATGGCATTGTCAATATTTAGTATGGAAAGTTTTTCATAACATAGCCTTGCCATAACATTGAAATGTTTTGAGGCAGAATCGGTCCATAAATATAATTATGGGGCAATTCTACCGTAACAGAGCTCATAATATAGCAACACTATGTTATGCTTGATAATTGGTAGTGAAAACTGTGAAAATGTCTAACTGTTTGCTGTGCCATCAGGCGTATTTTTCATATAAACAAGCAAGGAAGAATCTTATGGTAACTGCATAACTGAAGATTCTTAACACTTAAGTTTTTGAATATTTAAAATTGATTTAGGATTTTTGGCTAAAAGGTTTTTTTTGTATGCATATATTTATTGACAATCAAAATATACATTATTTTTTAAGATAATATGCTGGTCTTTATGCCCTGGCTAAAAAGTGGACGAAAACTTTGCACTTTTTTTGCTACTCATAAAGAAACTTAACGAGTTTTATCGAACGGTTTAAGGTTTGAAATCGGTTTAGCCGTTTTATGAGATAGATCCTACAAAAATTAAAAAATCGGCTCACTTTCTAAATTTGGTTTCAAACGACTCAAAATGACTTGAAACTTTGAAAAAACATAAATTTAGCAAGTCGGATTTTCTGGCGAAAACAAACTACTTCTGGAAGGGAACAATTATTTTTATAACCAGAATAAAATTTTTAACCCAAACATGAGTTATTTTACAAATGTACGTTTAAACAATTGTAAATTGTACAATTTGTATATTGTATCTTATAAATATAGGTTAATTAGTTAATTTTATAAAAGTATATTAATTAATTTTAATTTAATTTTAGGTTCGGCTGGCCCCAATGTTGCAAATGTACCTATACCTGGAACTAATCCACCTAGTGCTCCGATACCAGGAGTAGAACATGTATGTTTTTTATAAATCTATTATTGTTTTTGGGCCAACATCTAACAAATCCATCGAATAATTAAACATATTTAGTTAAAAAAAATGTCTTTATTGTGGTATCAAACGTTTCGAGTCCGAATTTGAATCATCTTTATTGAAAAAATGAGTGTGTGTGAGTGTGTATGTATGGATACATTTTTTTCACAATTTTGCGCGCACGACTCAACCGATTTGAATGATTCAAAACACATTTTGCTAGTCTTGTGAATGAAAAGAAAGAATTAGTTTTCAGGGAAGGTTTTTTTTTAAATTTGAAAACTTAAGATATTATTTCCCATTTTTTTTAAATGTTAAAGTTGATTCTGATTTTAATTTTAATTCTAGCTAAAATTCGAAAGCTCACTTATATACTTGAACTAAATAATCTCAACTTAGTTATTAGTATATATGATTCTTAAAAATATGAGATAAGATCCTTCATTCTCATAACTCCGCTAGATTAAGTTTTGTTTATTCACCTCTTATGTATACACCTATGAAAGTCATTGTCCAATTTATAAGCTCTTATATTTTGTCTATAAATTACGAATAATGAAAGTTACAGTATTTATAATAATATATTTGGAACTATTTAATATTCTTCAAATATTGCATTACCGTTAGGGAAGTTACAGCAATTTGCTTCAAGGCATGGTACTGCACTACTAGTTTTTAAATTCACATCCATAAACTAATTAAAAGAAAGTCATATTTCTATAAAAATAAAAGAATGGCCAAATAAAAAATCGATGCATTACTCAACAAAATAAAATAATTGATGCATTACCCAAAAAATAAATATTACATCAAATATTATGTAAAAGAAAATTTTCAGTATAGCTAATACAAAAAACTGAAAATAAATGCAATTAAATTCAAAATGCAAAAACTTTTTTACTTTATTGTTAAATTCTTCACAGGCTTGCTGAACAGATAGTATATAAATAAAATTATTCATTACTTGATTTTCATTCATCACTTATTCACAATTCATTCATCACTTATTATTTTGAGTAGAATTATTTTGCTATTCATTAATTAATCTTTCTCACTTTTTCAGCTGGTTGCTCAACAAAACACACAACGAGAACAAATTAGACAATCTGAGCAAAATCTAATGCACACATGGGGTAAGTATTGAACGATTAACAGGGCAAGTGAAACCCGTGAAAATGTCTATCTATCTATTTGCCATGACAACGCAATGTTATGAGGCAGAATTGCTCTATCAATTTCTCTTCTTATTAAGCTTTATGAAAGTCTATAGTCACTTCACTATTATTTTACAACAGATAGACATTTCACATAGTTTTCACTATCAAGAAACAAGCATAACATAGCATTGCCTTAACAATGCTATGTATGAGGCAGAATTGCCTTATGAATCTCTCTTATTATTAAGTTACTTGAAAGTCTATAGTCACTTCACTATTATTTATTACCGCAGATAGACATTTTCACAGTTTTCACTATCAAGAAACAAGCATACCATAACATTGCCTCAACAATGCTATGTTATGAGGCAGAATTATCTTATGAATTTCTCTTATTATTAAATTACTTGAGCATCTATAGCCACTTCACTATTATTTATTACCACAGATAGACATTTTCACAGTTTTTACTATCAAGAAACAAGCATAACATGGCATTGCCTTAACAATTCTATGTTATGAGGCAGAATTGCCTTATGGATCTTTCTTATTGTTAAGTTTCTTGAAAGTTTATAGCCACTTCATTATTATTTATTACCCCAGATAGACATTTTCACAGTTTTTACTATCATGAAACAAGCATAACATAGCATTGCCTTAACAATGCTATGTTATGAGGCAGAATTGCCTTATGAATCTCTCTTATTATTAAGTTATTTGAAAGTCTATAGCCACTTCACTATTATTTATTACTACAGATAGACATTTTCACAGTTTTCACTATCAAGAAACAGCATAACATGGCATTGCCTTAATAATGCTGTGTTATGAGTCAGAATTGCCTCATGAATCTCTCTTATTATTAGGTACTTGAAAGTCTATAGTCACATCACTATTATTTATTACCACAGATAGACATTTCCATAGTTTTCACTACCAAGAAACAAGCATAACATAGCATTGCCTTAACAATGCTATGTTATGAGGCAGAATTGCCTTATAAATCTCTCTTAATATTATGTTACTTGAAAATCTATATAGTCACTTCACTATTTTTATTATCACACATAGACATTTTCACAGTTTTCACTATCAAGAAATAAGCATAACATAGCATTGCCATGACAATTGAATCTCTCTTATTATTAAGTTTTTCGAAAGTCTATAGTCATTTCACTATTATTTAAATGATAGCTCAAAAAAATTATTGATTTCTTTATTATTGATAGACAATATTTATTATACAATAATTATTTTTGCACAGGTATTACTTAAGGCAACAGCAAACTCAAATATCGACAATGGCTTCACAATTGGAATCGAATCGAATAAAAGCAGATCTCGAGAAATGTGATATTGAAGTAGCTGATATTGATAAAGTGCTGAAGCCTATTATAGATTCTTGTACAAAGGATAATATTTCTTCAGGTATATAAAACGTAGATGTAGAGAATTAAGATTTTAATATTAAACTAAGTTTCGATCGATTTACTTTTGTAAATACTTTGCTAGTGTATAATAATAGTATTCAGCCTGAAGTCAGGTCCGTGGTGTGAGATACAAATAAATGGTTACCTTCCTCTTCGTCATCTATCATTCTCATTACCACTATTCTCCCCCCCCTTTTACACTTTATTGTATTTTCCTTTCCAAACTTCTGCTTCAATGCTTCTTTTCTTGCGCTTCGGCTTTCAGTTTCTTGTATTTTCTTTCTCGTGTACGTCGTCAATTGTCTTTCTTCTTCCCATTCCTTTCAGTCTTTTTATTTACCTACGTTGTGTAGAAGGCATTTTTTTTTGCAGAACGGGTTTGATCCAGTTTCCTTTTTTTTCAAAATTGTACTCAGTAACATTCTTTCTTTACCCCACTTTTCTCAAGACTTCTTTAATTTGCTACCTTGCCTGTTTACTTTATCTTCTCCATACGCCTTCAGCACCACATTTCAAAACACCCTATGTAGTTCTGGTCGGCCTTTTTAAAGTCCATGTCTCTGATTCATATAGCACATTATTAATCTCTTCTACAAGTCGAGGTTTAGTTTGCTCATCAATCGCAATTCTCTTCTTCGTGTATATTAGCATTAAAGGGAGTTCCATGGCATAATGGTTTAACTTGCTGTCTTATGTGAACAGGGTTGTGAGTTTGAGCCCATGCTCTGAATAACCAATATCGTGCCGTAGCGATGTCCATCTCCACTTGAAAATATAAGGCAGAAATATGTTTCCAATTGAAAATAGTCCATTTAGGGCACTGCGATGTGAAATGAAAATGGGAAATTGTAGTACTTGTAGGCAACCTTTATTTTATAACTTCCCGTAGGGTAAGTTATTGTAATGGGCCGAAAATCGGAATTGAAAATTTTTACATTTCTCGACGTTTTGAAGGTTTCTGAACATTTTGGCATACCTCAGAAAAAATGGGTGGTGTGTGTGTGTGTATGTATGTATGGATACAAATTTTCGCCCACGTTTTCGGGCATACGGATCAACCGATTTGAATGGTTTAAAAAACATTCGATTCCTATTGATAAGGAGATGTGCTGATTAGTTTTTGGTAGAGGCAGGTCCAGCAGGTACGGAGATAACGAGCAAAGAGTGCAGAAAATAGAAATCGAGTTTTTGAGAGAACGGAGCATCCGATTTGAATGATCTAAAAAACATTCAATTAGTAATGATTGGGAGAAGGGGTTATTAGTTTTTCGCAAAGGTAGGCCCAGCCATTTCGGAGATACAGAGCTAAATGTACAAAAAATGGCAGTTTTTGAGAGAACTAAGCGTCAGATTCAATTGATTCAAAGAACTTTCTGCTTGTCTTAACAAAATAATTGATTTTGGAAAAAAAAATTGTTTCAATTTTTTTTTTTTTTTAAATTTTTTGTATATCGAAAATAATAATTCAGATTTTATTTTTAATTCTGACTATAGTTCTAATATACTTTAAACAAATAATTTCAACTCTGCAATTCAGTTTATATAATTCTTATAAATATTAGACAATGTTACAATATTTATAATAATCTATTTGAAAGCATTCAATATTCCTCGAACATTTCGTTACGGTACGGGAAGTTCCAGCAATTTGCCTTAAGGCACGATGCCATGCACCCCACTAGTTTATATTAACATTTGAGCATTTGAGAAGATTATTTGTACGTTTATTCAAAGAAAATTTGCCGATTTTAATGATACAACAATATTCCCTGTTATTCATATTCTAGTTAAGCAATTTTTGAAGCAAAACTTCTAATACGACTTCTATCATAGTTACGTTAAATGTTTAACGCTCCTAGGTGAGGAAATAGAAAGACACAGTGAAAGTTGTCTGAAAAAGTTTGATTGTCTAAATATGTTTAAGGTTGTTTAAGAATGATGTGATATTGTCTGAAAATACTGTAAAGTGTCTAGAAATATTATTGATTGTCTGAAAATGCTGTAGATTGTCCAAAAAACTGTAGATTGACCAAAAAAGCTGTAGTATGTTCCAAGAAGCTGTAGATTGTCCAAAAAAGCTGTAGATTGTCCAAAAAGCTGCAGATTGACTGAAGAAGCTATATATTATTTCAAAATGCTGTAGATTGTCCGAAAAAGCTGTAGATTATTCAAAAAAGCTGTTGATTGACTGAAAAAGCTGTAGATTGTCCAAAAAGCTGCAGATTGACTGAAGAAGCTGTATATTATTTCAAAATGCTGTAGATTGACCGAAAAAGCTGTAGATTATTCAAAAAAGCTGTAGATTGACTGAAAAAGCTGTAGATTAACTGAAAAAGCTGTATATTATTTTAAAATGCTGTAGATTATCCGAAAATGCTGTAGATTGTCCAAAAAACTGTAAGTTGTCATAAATGTTGTAGATTGTCTAAAAAGCTGTAAATTGTCCAAAAAAACTGCAGATTGACCAAAAAAGCTGTAGTATGTCCGAAGAAGCTGTAGATTGACTGAAAAAGCTGTAGATTGTCCAAAAATGCTGTAGATTGACTGAAAAAGCTGTATTTATTTCAAAATTAAGTAGATTGTCCGAAAAAGCTGTAGATTATCCGGGGAAAAAATGGAATATTATTATAAAATACTACAGATTATTCGAAAAAGATGCAGTGTCCGAAAAAAGCTGTAAATTGTCTGAAAGTACTGTAGATTGTTTGAAATAAGCTGTAAATTTTCTGAAAGTACTGTAGATTTTCCTAAATAAACTGTAGATTGTCTGAAAGTACTGTAGATTTTCCAAAAATGCTGTATGTTATCCAAAAAGTTGTATATCATCTGTAAATATCCAAAAAAGGTGTAGGTTGTCCGAAAAAGCTGTAAGTTGTCTAAAAATTCTGTAGATTGTCCGAAAAAAGCTGTAGATTGACTGAAAAAGCTGTTGGTTGTCCGAAAAAGCTGTATATTATCTGGAAATACTGTAGATTATGCGAAAAAAATTTTGATTTTCCGAAAAAGCTGTAGTTTTTCTGAAAGTACTGTATACTATCCGTAAAACTGTAGAGTGATTGAAAAAGCTGTATATTATCTGAAAATACTGTAGATTCCTTGAAAAACGTGTAGATTGTCCGAAAAATGCTGTAGATTGTCTGAAAGATTAGATCTGGAAATACTGTAGATTGTTCGAAAAGGTGTAGATTGTAAATAGAAGAGGTGTAAATAAGCTCTAGATTGTCTGAAAATACTGTACATTGTCCAAGAAAAGTGTAACTTGTCCAAAAAAAACTGTGGATTATCCGAAAATGATATAGATTGTCTGAAAATGATACATATTGTTCGAAAATACTGTAGATTGTGTGAAAACGATATAGATTGTTCAACAAATTGGTGGATTATCCAAAAATTATATAGATTGCCTGAAAATGATAGATAGATGTTCAAAAATACTGTAGATAGTAAATACGGTAGTGAGAATATAAAGTAGTTTATCATACTCAGATAACCAGTAGTCCAGTTTATCTAAAAACATTGTATTTTATCTTAAAATGCAGTGGATTATATTAAGTTTACTAGAAAATCAAATTCTACCCTTATTTCGTAATTTTATATCCACATTACGTAGTAAAGCAACCCCACTGTTAGCATTATTTCAAATTATTTATATAAACATGTTAATGTTATGAATAGTTAACAATTAATCCATGAA